AGAGTGAGGGAGAGAGGAAACTGGCGAGGTGGGAGGAAAGGAGGAGGAAAAGAGATATAGATAAGCCAAATGGGCTGGGGCTTTTAAGAGTTAGAAAATAGACATTGAGAGGCTCAGGAACAACTATGGGGGCATTAAGAACCAGAAGAGATTCCTAGAAGTAGTGCTGAAAGTTATAAATTGTTTTTATGCTCTTCTTCAGATATAAATAGAAGTGGAAACTATTTTTTGAATGACTTATGGCCATTGGCCTGTATTTCTTTTTAATGCAACACTCCACTGAAACTGGGCCATATGGTTTATATTTGAGTTATATTTAATAAACATTAAATTTATGTTTCACATTACCTGCAGGAAAGTGAATTCAGAGATCCTGCATAGTAGCCTTTTCTCCCTTCAGGGAACATATTCAGCTAAGTCCATAAAATAGATATACATAACATCTGTACAGTATATAGTGTGATAGTTGTCAGAATCAAAATGGTGTTGCTGTGCCAAAAAAAAAAGCCCTCTGCCAAATTGAGCTGGGAAAGGACATGAAGAGAGGATTCTCATTCATAAATGCCAGAAAACAGAAACTATCACAAAAGACTGCAAAAACTGCAACCTTGCACAAGCTTCTGCTAGGACCTCTGCTCAGCAGCTGCCTGTCCAACCTTGGGCTGGTGTCACTCTTTTTATTGATCCTTGTAGCCAAAGATAATTATCTCAAAACAATTAGGTAATCCTCCTCATTTTTTCTTTAAAAATCTTTGCTTTCGTTTACCTTTCTGAACATGCAATAGTTTACTATGGCACATGTATTCCCACTGGAATGCAATTACTTATTCCCAAATATGTATCCTATTTTTAAGAAAGCTTCTCTCTGATTGTCATTTAAGTTGATATAAACGGCATCCTGAAGTGGGACCTGAGAAAGGATCACTATCAGAAGGAACAGGTGATTTCTGGGACTGGTATGCAGTTCTCATTTGAGACTTTTGAGCTTTCTGCTTCCATGGCTCACTTCTGCCCTCGTAAGTCTTTTCTCAGGCTGAGCCTCCCTCTTTTGGTAGAAATTCTTGACTTTATTCAGGATTTGGTTTGATTACAAGGCCACCTTACATAAAAGACCTTACATCCCTTTTATGATGATAGGATGTGTGTGTGTGTGTGTGTGTGTGTGTGTGTGTATGTTTCTGACAAGTCATTTTTGGTATAAAAGACAGGTGTCCTTTTGGTTTGAGTAATCTTGTTTCTGTAGAGTTTGCGTTCTGTCTTTGAGGCACATGTTACCTGGTGAATTTACTTTTGGTTTTTTCCGTGTGCCTAATTGAATATTTTTTTTCATCTGCACACCTGGGTTAACAGTTTTGTGAATACTCTTATCTTAATTTCATTTTAGCTTGGTTATGTGCATCTGTAAATTATTTCACTCCTTTCCCTTGCTTGCTTCTAAAAATCTTCCAAGAGTAAAAATAAACATCCTAAATGGTGTGTGCTGGATGGCTAATTAAAAGCCACTAGTGCTGTTGCCACCATCTAAAACATCAGTACAAACTCATGACATTCTGTAACAGGATTTATAGGATGTTCTTTGCTCATCAGAGATTAATAAGAAACAGAATGGGATCCTTAAACATTAAGGTATACGAGGTCTTCTGGGACCCCAGACAGCTATATTAAGGCCCATAATTGTGCACGTTTCTAAATGGCCTATACATGTGCACATTTCTAAACTGACGAGCAAATTACATCAGGGAAGATTCAGAGCCCAGATGGTCATTGTTCAAACTGTCTAAAAACCTCTAGAACGATATGGGTAACATGTAGAGCTTTCCAAGTTATCTATCTCTATTTTTTTTTCTGCCTATTTTGAATATGCTGATTTTTCTATAGGTGCTGAGATAAAACTTAGTGATTGTGGCATTCTAGACAACACTAAAAAAAAAAAAAAAAAAAAAGAAAGAAAGAAAAAAGAGAAAAAAAAACCCTAGAGGACTTTCAAATTAATGACTTTACAAATTACAACAGCTTCATGGTAACCAACAATCTAAACCTAAGAGTAATCCCTTTTAATGTACATTTAGGTGTGTCTAACAATTGCTCAGGGCAATGGAGCAGTTAATTGAAAGATTGATAGTCTGTAACTACATAAATGTACATAAAACTTAGGCTCTCAGATCAAACAGGTCAAAATCTCGAGCTCAGAGTAATAATATAAGGTGTCTCTGTCTGTCATAAATATTTCGTTGCCTGACATGCAGAGGCCAAAAAGAAAAAGCCGCCCCCCCCCAAAAAAAAAAAAGCTTGCTAAAATGCTTCCCTACCCACATTAACTAGTCAAGCAAACCAGAAGAGCAAATGAAAAGAGTGATTTGTTACTGAAAATTCAAGGCCACTTGGAAATCCATTTTTCTTGTACAATTCAGCCAGTTCTAGCTAAAATGTAAACATTGAAAATTTAACCCTAAACTTATTTGAAACTAAAAAAGGGATAAAAAGATTTTTTTTTTTTTTAAATCAAACTACTACAGAAACTGCTTTACCCAAAATTTTGGTCCATAAACTTCATTAGATTATGTATCAGGAGAAATAATAGTTTTAGCCACATAAATGGATTATATTTTGTCAGGAATGTAATATGGATCCAATTGTCTTTTATAAGCCAGTGAGTTTGTATCTTTCACTGTCTTGTGACTAAAATTCTAAAATGAAAGCTATAAGATCTTTGTGTACATATGTGTTTAGGTATGTTTACACATATGTCTATGTATCATGTTATATGTTGTGTCTATATTTTAAAATCTAGTATAGTCGGACAGAAATCCCTTAGGAAATTCTATTCAGATTGACTTAGATAAATGGAGCACTCATATAAAATATATGGTAATTAACCCAAATGCCTTTTAGTTCATGTGACTTAAGCAAATCTTTAAATAGGCTAGTTTTAAAATCATTGGTAAAATAAAAATAAAAATGTCTTCAAAATTGTCTATACATTTTTCCCAGGGTCTACTGGTCAGACAGTTTCATATTTGTCTCTGCTGGATGTTTTAAGGTGTCAAGGTTTGACACAAAGGTTATAAGACTAAACCCAGGCTAAAACAGAATGATCTTTCTTTGTGTAATTGCTTGATAAGACTATTTTAATATTGTTGGCTTAATAAAAACAGCTGTATTTATCAGCAAAATACCCCTATATTTAACTTTAAGATTCTTATTTAGGTGAGCACCTGATATTCACAGGTTAAAAAATGGTTAACGAGAAAATAACCTGAAATGATGACTAGAACTTTTTCTAATATCTGTTTTCATAAGTAATTTTCATAAATTTTTAAAAGATAAATAAATTAGGTAATGTGAAAGAGATAAATGTTTATAACTAAATTTTCATGTAATTTGAGATTTTAAAGTTATGTTTTGTGGAATTAATAGATATAAATTACATATCTGGATGAAAATTTCCAAATAAATTAAACCAATAAAAATCTGCTTTCTCTTTATAGCTGGGAACGTTAGTTGTATTACCAAGGCTTTGACTGGAATATCATATTTGAAAACGCACATAGAATGCCTGGCTTCAAAGCTGATTTTCAACTTTAAAGTGAATAGATTAAAGATGTCACTTCCTGACAGGTCCAGGAACCTTAAGACTGTAGATAAAACTAAAGTCTGCTTTGGCTTGGCTTCCTAGCCTCAAGAGGTTTTTAAATTTGAGATTCCTAAGTGACCAATTTAGAAAGAAAAAGTTATGTTTCTAAAGAAGTTATAGTACACCTGTTATGTAGTGAATTATTTCAAGTCCTTGTTATCAGCCTATAAACTAGACTAGATCATGAATTCTCCAGATCCCTCCAATTCAACTTTTTTTTTCTTGAAATTATTAAAAATTGAACTTCTCTTCCTGAAGCTTCATAAGCTGAAACTAGATGAATTTTAAGAAACAAGTCTCATGCCTGATGTAAGGGTCCCAGAAAAAGTTCACCAAACTCTCCAATTCCTTAACCAGAGATATTTAAACTGAAAACCAGGACAAGAAGTTGAAGTTGTTACCCCGTAGAGAGCTTTTCCGAAGATGTCAGAACAAGATTCCATATTATGATGAGACTCTTACCCCTCTTAATGTCTACCTTTTTCTTTTGGCAGGATAATAGTCCTTTGATTTATTCCATTGGTTGTCTGTAAGCATAGGTTTCATGGCTTTAAACTACATGCAAACTGGGATTATCATATTACTGTTAATCTTACTTTGAATTTCCCTTTCTTGAATTTTGTATCTGTTACTCATTACATTTTTTCAGAAATACAACTTCTAACAGAATAATGCTGTCCTGGCACTTTGAAGTGATAGCCAAAGGTTACAAAACAGACAAAACTGAACTTAATAATGAACTGCTGGTAGACTTAGCCTGAGAGCCTCTCCCTTCAAACCTTCTTTGTTGCTCAAATGTGGCTTTAAAAGGGCTTTAACACCGATTCCCAGCTGCTATTCACACCCTCCTATATGAGACCAGACCAGCAACCTGGGCCAGATCCAGCCAGGCCAGGCACTGAGGGATATCAAAATTTAAATATAGGATAATTGATCAGTGATGTTTTTGGAGAAAGATATTGATCAAAAAGGGGGAAATGTAAAAGTTGTCAGAATAAAAATAGAGTAACTCGTGTTAAAAAAACTACCCTGACAAACAGAGCTGGGAAAAAAATATGAAGAGAAGGTTCTCATTCATAAATGCCTAATAACAAAAACTATCACGAAAGACTTTGCAAAAACCAGAACCTTGCACAAAAAAATAATTCTTTAAAGACATTTGCCAAATAAGTGCCTGCCCAACCTTGGACTAGTGCCACCATTGTTACTGATCCTTGTAGCCAAGGATAATTATCTTAAAACAATTATCTGATCCTCCTCAATTTTCCTTTACAAACCTTTGTCTTCCTTTACCTCCCTGAATATGTGCATAGTTTACAATGGCACATGTATTTCCATTGCAATGCTCTATTTCTGAATAAATATCATTTTCTTTCAGAGAGCCCTCCTGTTATGTAGGTAAACAATACTATATGGTAAGTATCCACAAAATTTACATAATTACTTGTATCCAATAATGTTCAATCCATATCAAAGCATATTTATTTCAAGACTGTTGCTCTTCTGAAAACTCTTGATTTTATGAAGAAGAATAATATAAATTAGGTTTTTAGTTGTTTACTTCCCTTTTTATAGTGTGTAAAGTTCCTTAGGAAGTGACTTTGGTTTTTTTTGGTTTGTTTGTTTTTTTTGAGACAGAGTCTCACTCTGTTGCCCAGGCTGCAGTGTAGTGGCATGATCTCAGCTCACTGCAAACTCTGCTTCCTGGGTTCAAGCAATCCTTGTGCCTCAGCCTCCCAAGTAGCTGAGATTACAGGCCTGCACCACCATGCCTAGCTAATTTTTATATTTTTAGTAGAGACCGGGTTTCACCATGTTGGCCAGGCTGGTCTCAAAATCCCGACCTCAGGTGATCTGCCCGCCTCGGCCTCCCAAAAGTGCTGGAATTACAGACGTGAGCCACCGTGCCTGTTTTGTTTTGCTCACTGCTTTATCACAAGTGCTTAGAATAGTACCTAGCACAAAATAGGTGTTCGATAAATGAATTAGTGCGTGAAGTATAATGAACTTACTAGTCAAGCCACCTTGACCTTCCAACCAGAAAATTCTGGAAATATATGTGAATTTAGACTCGTTGAAAGTAGAATTTAACATGTTATTGTTATTATTTTTTAGAGACAGGGTCTCACTCTGTTGCCCAGGCTGGAGTGCAGTGTCATGATCATAGCTCACTGACACCTCTAACTCCTGGGCTCAAGCAATCCTCCCACCTCAGCCTCCCAAATAGCTGGGACTATAGGCATGCACCACCATTCCTGGTTATTATTATGTTTTTACAGATGGGGTCTTGCTATGTTGCCCAGGCTGGTCTGGTCTCAAACTTCTGGGCTCAAGCAATCCTCCTGCCTTGGCCTTCTAAAGTCCTAGGATTACAGGAGTAAGCTGCCATGCCCAGTTACTATGGTATTTTTTAATAATAATGACTTTGTAGCACTTTTTCTTACAGTAACATTTATTTTAGTGCTACAAGTGGGAAATAATCCTTATTCCAATAGCAATACCTATTTAATCTCCATAAACACTTAAGTTAAAAAAATAACAAAGATAAACCAATAAAAAGTTATTCATTTTTCTCCCAAAATAGAAAAATGACCAGCAACTTTTAGGTTGTTTTACTGGTAATGTATTTAGCAAAGAAGGTACAAATGTATCATAGGCATAAACATGCAATTAGATTTGTACTTCTGGTTTCAGTGATAAGTCCACAAGAATGGTGGTAAATGATAGGTGTTTCAGCATCTTGGGATCACCTCCCTTGTAGAAACATTTCTCTTCAGGGTTAAATTAAGACTGAGTATTTTATTGGATGACCATGAACACATCACAGCAAATCTAACTTGAGGTATTTACTGGTGCTTGTTTAGATGCTGAAGGCAATGCATTAGGAACTGATGGTGACTGATTCTTATCCAATCAGTTCCTGATGCAGTATCTGCGACATCAAAAACTATGTAATAATTATATTAAGTATCATTTGTTTCCAAATGCAGCAACTTTATTCTCTTTTGTTCCTTCATATGAAATTTGCAATTTAAAAAACTCTTTTTAAATGTCAGTTAATAAAGCAATCCAAAGTCATACTAACAAGTAATTTCCCCAATTTACCAAGACAGATATATTACAATATAATGTGTATGACTAACTTAGCATAAACACTTATTTCATGGCAAACTATTGTGGTAGTGTGAATAAGCATTTATAAAGGGTTTTTTAAAACTAGCTTTTTTTTTTTTTTGAGACGGAGTCTTGCTGTGTTGTCCAGGCTGGAGTGCAATGGCACGATCTCAGCTCACTGCAACCTCTGCCTCCTGGGTTCAAGTAATTCTCCCACCTCAGCCTTCTGAGTAGCTGGGATTACAGGCACCTGCCACCATGCCCGGCTAATTTTTATATTTTTAGTAGAGATGGAGTTTCACCATGTTGGCCAGGCTGGTCTCGAACTCCTGACCTCAAGTGATCCACCCACTTTGGCTTCCCAAAGTATTGGGATTACAGGCATGAGCCACTGCACCCAACCTAAAAACAGCTTTTCTTAAGCCACTCAGTCTGTTTTTAAATGATAATTTAAAAAATATTAAAGCCCTCGAGTGGATTTGAATGAGAAAATTCTGATGAATTGTTTAATTTTAGATTCATTGATTAGGATGAACTGTATTTCATTTTCAAGATAACTTTATTATGTTTTCCCCCTGCCAGCTTTATTGAGGTACAATTGGTATACAGAATCTTCATGCATATAATCTGGTAAGTTTGGACATATATATACACTGATACTAACATTATTACAATCAAGGTAATAAACATATTCATCACTTCCAAAAGTTTTCTTGTTTACTATGTTACTTTAACCACACTAGAATTCTAGCTCACTGAAATGATAAAGTTAGAATTAGAATTAGTACATATGGGAGGCACGTAACAACTTGAAGAATGTGGTGGCCAAATCTATAATTCTGAGAGCGTTACTGGTTTTCTACCTTATTAATAATTTTGCGGGCCATCTTTTGGAGAATCTCTCATTAGAAAATTCTAGTTGATCCTCTAGAATGCCTCCAAATATAGAATGAATGAAGGAGTCTAATATTACTTAGCAAATCCATCATTCTGTCCGGTGGGACTTCTAGTTTACATGGGCTGTTTTAGACATAAGGGGTAGGAAATAATTGGGTAGGGAATTCAGAAGTAGAATAGAGGTGGAGCTGAGAGGTGAAGATCATAGAAATGGAGACTGAAGAATCCACTTTTGGCTTTCTGTCTCATTTATTTGGATTCCAAATAGGCTTGAGAATTAAGGTTAATAATATTTTCATTTTACGGATAGTGAAAATTTGGAGTACATTAAAGTATCTTAGCGGCATATTTTCTGGCTTATTGTTTCTCTTTCTAGAGGTCTTATCTATGATCAAATATAGTATCTCAATTTTTTACCAGACATTTCCCTAAGATCTGTGTGTCTTTTCTAAAGGGTATGCAAATGAAGCCAAAGGTCTTGTAAGCAGAGTGGTCTTGGAAACCCTAAAAACTCCTTCCTGAAGAAGGAGCCCCAGGAGGAGGCCCTGAGAAGCCAGTTCATCATGATGTTCTCCTCTAGCTAGTTTTGTCTGTCTGTAGGTATAGTTTCTGGGTTTTGTAGCAAAATTTGACAGATTAGGGACTTGGGTTAACAACTCTTGTGGTGGTTGGGAAAACAGTTGGTATTGTGTCATTTGTGTGCTGGGATGAACTGTGATAAGTGAAAGTAGGTGAAGAATAGGCTTTAGGAAGATTTGATGGTTGCAAATATGCTTTATGTGATCTTCCTCAGGTAGTGTCATTAATTAAAAATAACAGGGCGCAGCCTCGTCATAATTTTAGGCTTCTTTTGGCTGTTATCTGGAGTGTCCAGCGTAAGACTGCAAGTTTTAAAAGCCCCAAGGACTGGGATACAGTTGGCTGGGATGATTGGATATTAAAATGTCATCTTTCATTACAAACTACTGCAGGGAATCAGATGGGGAAGGAGAGATTCATCAGGGTGGGTGAAAAGGTCCTCTAGGCCAGTGGTTCTCAAAGGTGAGCAATAATCCAGAGGCTTGTTAAAATATAGATTGCTGAGACCCACACCTAGAGTCTCTGATTTAGTAAATCTGGGATGGGGCCCAAGAATTGGCATCTTTAACAAGTTCTCTAGTGATATGGTCCAGGGACCATAATTTTAGAACCAGTGCCCTACCCTAGTCAGAGACTATTTGGGTTATTGGAAACAGGTGATCTTAATTAAACAGGACCTTGGTAAGTGAATGTGATGATCTAGAAGGAAAAAGGCCAGAACTGAGCACCTATAGAAGTTCAAGTCCTAGTAATTATTGTAGTTCAAGAATGTTGCTTGTTGAATGTCACTGTATTATTATAGGTCTTTAAGGAGTACATTTGTAACTTCCTGTTTTCATTTCCTGTCACCACAGAGAAATCACAGAACAGAAACTCTGCTTTTCTCTGGCCAACTAATCATTACTCGAGTTTGGAAATATAACTAACACGCCTGCAGACAATTCAAAATGATAGTAAACAATACAACTGAGATTGGCCACTATAAAACAGAATCCTAAAATTCAGGTCACAGTTTAGAGCATTGTATAAGCTGAAAAGTATTTCCCCAGTAATTGAGGTGTCTATAATAGAACTAAAAAGCAGAGGGTCACCCTTTTCAGGTATTTCTAGAGTTTTTCCAGAGAGATCCTCCTGGTATGTCCATGCCAGGTGACAAGCCCAAATTGAGTACCTTGCAGGGTTACTGATCCTGAGGGGCTTGTCTGATATAGAATTAAGTCTGTAACCAGAAAAGTTCTTTCTGTCCTGCTCTACTTTAATGATAGACAGCTCTGGCTTGAATAAGATGGTTATAGAGACTCATCTTTAGGAGTTTAATGGTGAATCTTGCAGTGATCATTAAAAACAAGCCATTTTTGTTTATTTTGTTTTGCTATTGTTTTGGTTGGGCTGAGGGCAGGCTGCCAAAGGAGGGCAAAGGTGGGACTTTCTGAGCATTCAAGAACTGTTCATCATTTGGTGGTATAGCATGGGGGAGGGCCACAGAAAACTCTAATTTGGATTTCCACAGAAGACAAACATTTTGAGCCTGGGGCCATCTTTACCAGGCAGAAATAGAATTCAGGTTTTCAACAAAAGCTCAAGATCACAGATTCAGCAGACATCTAAGGTCTAGTCCTACAGACTGGCAGTAGGTTCTGCTTGTTTGCTCTGATTAAGAGGCTGGCTGCCTCTACCTTGGCTTTCATAGTCTTCATGGTATAGGTGGAAAAGGGATAATAAGTGCCATGCCGTAGGTGCTGGTGAATGAGATGATGAGCTGAGAATGCTGAGGACTTAGTTCCCAGGAGCCCTAACAAGGTCTTGGGTCATGAGCAAGACAGAGCCTCTTTACTAAAAGGCTGGGAATCCTGTTGCACTCTATTTTTACTGAAGACTGGCATAAACCCAGTCTAACAAATGATATTTTGAATGTCTCATTGATAGAGATGCCAAATCCTTCACTTATTTTGATGCTAATTACTACCAGGCTGTAATTCTAAAGTTATTAAGCTTTAAAAGAAAAGTCAGAGTCTATGTGTTGAAAGGATAAGTGATTTTCTTTTTTTCTTGAAACAGTGACTCAAGCTGTTGCCTAAAGGAGTTGTGGCTCCTGATTCCTGAGCTAGTTTCCTTTTTGTTCTTTCATACTAGCTTTCCTCTTGGTTGGAATCTGCCTATCCTGTGGCCTTACATTCCTAAAGTTAAATGACAAGGAAGTTATTTGCAGTTCACAATAACCATTTTTCTTTAAAGTTTATACATGGTTAGATTCTAAGAAAAGTCTATTAAACTATGTTACTGGTAAATAAGTCATGCCACTTCTCTAATTAAAACTCTTCAATTGCTTCTGAAGTCCCTCACATTAAAACCCCAAATTCTTACCATAGTCTACCCAGCTCTACCCTCCAATCCTCTCCTTCCAGATTTTCTCACTGCACTCCAACCACAGCTTCCCTGTTGAGCTCAAATACAGTGATTCTCACCTTTGGCTGCACATTATAATCCCCTGGGTACCTCTTAAACAGTGATGCCCAGACACCATCCCAGACATTCTGAGTTCATTTATCAGTGACACAGCCCTTGATATTGACATTTTCAAAAGCTCCCTGTGCCTCTATGTGCAGAGAGCACTGGGAACATCTGGAGACTGCAAGAGTGCACTGAGTGTACACACAAGGCAACAAGCACGGTTCCTGATGCATCATATGTACTCAGCTATTCAAAAAATGTTTCCTACTCTGTTTAATTACATGTATCTTCTTCCGTTTTTGAAAAATGGTCACCAAAAACTGGAATTGGGAATTTTTTCATGTTTGGAAAAATGGTTATTTCAACTAGCAGGAGGATACAGACAACATTTAGAAAGTTTCAGCAGCTTAAAAGAGCCCTTAATGAGTCCTGAAAATTAATACGAAGTGCTCTCCTTACCAGAGGTAAGTTATTTCCTGGCTTATGGTTCAGTTTTTGTGCTGTTAGTATGTGAATAACTAGTTCTCAAACTTACCTCCTACTGCTCAACATCAATTTCTGGCAAGGAAATCTAATAGGTCATACTAATGTGCCTTGATACAGAAATGCAATTAAAAAAATTTTTTTTTTTTTTTTTGGAAATGGGAGTCTTGCTCTGTCGCCCAGGCTGGAGTGCAGTGGTGCGATCTCGGCTCACTGCAAGCTCCTCTTCCTGGGTTCAGACATTCTCCTGCCTCAGCCTCCCTAGTAGCTGGGACTACAGGCGCCTGCCACCATGCCCAGCTAGTTTTTGTATTTTTAGTAGAGACGGGGTTTCACCGTGTTAGCCAGGATGGTGTCAATCTCCTGACCTCATGATCCGCCCGCCTCGGCCTCCCAAAGTGATGAGATTACAGGCGTGAGCCACTGTGCCAGGCCCAGAAATGTAATTTAATCAAACTGAGATATACAGACTTCTCTTCCTGAGAACACCTGAGGGGATATGTGCCAGTCAAGACTTTGGAAATAGCATTTTAATAATTTTTGTTGTTAAAGTTAATCCCACTTTTAATTATAAATGTGGTTCACATGATTTGTTTTGTGTTACTGGGCGAATGAGGAGGATAACTGGCCTTGATTTTTCACCCTGAAGAATGACATTTGTTCTTATTCTTTTTGCAGAAAAGAATTATCTGTTTCCAGGGATCGCTGATAATTAGAGTTGGGTACAGCTCCAAAGTTTCGTGGCAACCTCAGCCTAAGCCATAGTTGATTCTAAATTTCAATATTATTTAGGGCAGATGAATGTGAAACACAGAAGGAATGAGGAAGGGTGATTAAATGTGATAATCTGGGGAGTTGAAGTTTGAGGAGGGCCTGGCAGGAGATCGTCCTCTTTTAGACTGTTTGGAATTTGATGGAGTAGCACCCACAAAGAGAGTGGGAGGAGCTTTCAGAGGGAAAACATTTTAGGTTCAGTTTCTAACACCCAAACTCCTTGGCTGCAATTTTTTAAAAAACCAAGTAGCACCGAAGGAGCGCAGTAAGTAGCAAGTGAATCCAATAAAGGCAAATTAATTCCCAAGGCTGGTTTCCTTTCTGGTACAACAACACTTTAGAAAAAGACTTTAGTAAGATTAAAAGTGGTTGAGCATGAAATAGTAACCATTGAAAACTTTTCCCCCGCCTTGGTCATGAAATAGAAATTTGGTATTTTAGTTTTG